GTATTCTTTTATGTGGACTAAATAAAAGCTGAAGAAAATTAAACCTGAAAATGTGCATGTTTGTGTGCACATGTGTCTGTGTGCAATCAGTACAAGAATAATGACAAACATCTCTTAATGGGGAGCAACAAAGCTGTCAACCAAAGCTTTACCAGGAAAAGCAGTCCTTGCAGAACTTTCAGTATCTTATTTACATAGGCAAAACTCTCCCACACGACTCAGTTTCACTCATCACACAAATAATTGTACTTTGTAGTATTGAATTTACTCACTCAATACAGAAGAATGATACTTTAATGAAAATCTCCTATAAAGATACTAACTTATCCTGTGCAGAGAAAATTATTTATTCAACTGTGAAGAGTCTAAGGTAACTTTTAAATCTAAAGTGGGCTGACAACAACTAATCCTCAGCAGCTAGAAGCAGTTACATGTCACTTCAAAACCATGCGTCAGCAGTATCTACCACTGCATATTCCTGGCATCAGCCTCAAAACACAGGTCTTTACTTTCAGCACATACATAAGTCGAAGAGACTTAAAATTACTAGCAAGCATCACATCTACTTAGAAAAATCTCCAGGTAACTTAAGTATTGTATCTAACTAACTTTTGGATCAGCAATTTTAACTTGTATGGTAGAAATATACAGACTATTTTTTCCTTTTTTCCCTTTAAAAAAAAAGAAACTCCAAAGGAAAACATTTTCAGTAGATTCACATTTCTGCAGATGAAGACTTTACTATTCTCAGCAGGAAAACAACCAATTTCTGAAGCAAAGACTCTACGTCAATCATGTCAATCATTTCTAAATGAAGTGCGCAATATAATACTTCAAAGGATACTTGAAATCAAAATGCCAGCTCTCCTTCTGCTCAGACATGAACATTCACCAAAGGGTTATATTATTACATAGCTATTTCAGATCCTCTACTGCTTTGAATCAAATTTTTTACAGAAAGATGTCCTTTGTATAAAAAAACCCACCACTTTTTCCTGTACAGAAAACACTGCTTGTATTGTAGGGTTTTTTTCTTTTTAAAATGAGAATCATTTAAGTCTAATGAACAGAGAGCCACTATACGGATTTTACACACTTTGCATTTTGTAAACCAAATCAGTTTGCCAAGACCAATAAAGCAAATGTAAACCCCATGCAAACAAGACACTTCTGACTAGTGTAGTTATTCTAGCTGACACACAGAAATTACCTTCCCAAACCAAAGGAGGCAATCTTGAAAGAGTTATTTTTGACTAAGTTGTTTTCAATATTCTAAACTAGAGGGGACACGGAAAGTTTTTTGGATTATCTTTTATCAACCCTTGCAAAACTCTAGCTGTTACAGTGCAGTGCTCCCACCTTCTTCTTCCCTCTGTTAATTTAACATTGCATACTTTTATGAATAGCTTCTCACAAAAATGTTCATGCACTGGTACTGAAAAAAACTAATTTAGGAACATCTGTTACTAAATACCTGGTTTTATGAGCACTTGATAACCCAATTTCAAAGTCAGTATACTCAGTAGCCCTTTTGGGCACAGTCCAGAATAGCAGCTTGGTTATTGAGTTAATAGTATGATCGCCAAGGTAAACTTATGGAATGCATCTTCTATAAATAGTTAAGCACTGCTTGAGAGAAAGCACAGCAATATTTTATCTTTTAATAGTACCAAAAAAGCAAGTAGTCCTGTAATTGCCTTTCAGAACCTTCTTTGTTGTTGTATGTAATGAAAAGCATTTGAGATTCACATCTTTTAAAACTTCTAGGATGAAAATTTTCTTTTTTTTAAATACTAGATCTGTGCAGAGAAAAACAAACAAAACCCTTGTGCACTCATCTTGGACACTGAGAAGGCTGATGTCAGCTATTAAGACTGACAGTATCTGACAGAAAAATACTCCAAGAAGCTTTCAGGGAATACCTGTGTTTCATCTATGGATTCAAAGCTTCTTTTGTTTCCATAGTTTCAGACAAATTGAGCTAAATTGTAATTTTGCTGTGTTCCAAATTATTCTATTAAAAATCCAACCATTTAAACCCAATTATTTTCAATGAGAATATCTTGGTTTAGCATCTTCAAAAAGTGCAAATTTGCAGGTAAGTTCTCAGTCAAGTATAAGCTATATGTAAAGGGAAAACAAAAAATCTGTGCCTAGCTCTTATCACTAGCATTACTTTATAGATGGTCCTATAGATATGAAATTACTTACCTACTGAAACATAGCAGGGTAATTCAACTCCTAAGAAAAGATTAACTTCCCTGGTGTACAATTTGGTGTCATATCCTAGCTGGCAACAGTGACTTCCTTAGCGTGTGACTGTTACCAATTACTAGAGCACTTCAGACCAAAGCTTTCAAACTTTACAGTAGGACAAGCATGAATGTGAACTTACAGGCTTCACTCCAGAGCAGCTGCTACCAAGCTAGACAGAGTACCTCTTGCGTGCCATGTGCAAGCCCATGCACTCTTGTGGGAACAGCAGTCCCCAGGTGCCTCAGCCAACTGAGCTGCTGAAATGATCTGCTCACTTATCTTCAGAGTCTGAAACAAGATGCCACTACAAAGCTGTATATTAAACTGTAATTGAGAAACACTCTGGGATAGAAATCAGATCCAATAGCCATGGATTGTTTCCGAGAGAGGGTCCTGAAGTCAGAGACCAATCTTTAAACTATTAATTCATACTCAGTTGAAGTTAAGTTGAGAAAGCTCCTGATGAGAAGGAAATGGAAATAAGTCTTCTATAATGGGTAGTCTTATGCCAAAAGATTGTAGCAAATGATCTCAAGAAGAGATTTGCTAACTCGAGGCAATTTTTTTATGATGTTTTACACATTGCCAGACGCTTTCAAATGTAAAAAGCATCTCAGAATCTGTCTGCGTTCAGATAATTAGGATATAAGACAACACACCAGGGAAGCAGTTATGAGAGGAATTCAAATTTCCTCTAATCCACCACAGAATCTCTGTCAGGTCTTTTCCAGCATTCTGAGGAAAGAAGAATGGGTTCTTCTACATGAGTTGTATTTAACATTAGGATGATACTTAAATACAGTACATAGCACTTTCTAACATGAATTCTAGTTTAAGCTTCCCTCTCTACAGTTTCTGAAGTCAAGGAATAGTTCTAGGCTGTTTATATATATAAAGTGGCATAAAAATTTAAGAATTGTATAAAAAGTTGAAATGTAACAAAATTGTGAAAGCTAGGTCAGCAGAAGGAAATTTCTGGAATTTCTCTCTAAAAATTAGGGAGAATTAGAAAATTAGAGACACAGCAAAGAGGAATTTATCTAATTCCCATTTCAGCAAGATATCTAAGTGATTTTCTTTAGAAACAGCAAGTGTCAACAATTACAACTGCTGTTACAGACTCCCACTGATGCATTTAAACATGAAAACAGATCCATTTCAGACTATTGTGACTCTGGGTTGGTAACCGAAGAGAAACCGTATCTTTCATCTCAATAGGCAGAGATGACTCCTTCACTTATCCCTTTTAAAGTAAGTTATACCTTTATTAATAATGTTCACACTCCATATGGACAAAAAAAAGGTTTTTTGGACCCCTATCAGAAGGCTGCTGACCAACTGACAATATTCTGACAAAAGAGAATGAATCAAAACAAACCACAAATGTGCAAGTGAACTACTGGAAGGTGCTCCGCTCCAAGACTTTGAAGAAAAGATTATTCAGATGGTGACTTGTTTCCTAGTTACTTTTATCCTCCCATTCCTGCTTTGATCCCATGGTAGGAGACAGAATTTATTGAGGAACAGAGCTAAGGACATTCAAGAATAAGAACATATATGACAACAACAAGTTCTTCAGTGGTCGCAGACTACTGCTAAGGCAGCTCACTCTCAGCCTGTAAGCAGCAGCATTAGAATTATTGGAGTAGAATAATTACTACAGCAAAATAAAAAACGAGCAACTGAATTACTCCTCTTCTTTTTCCATTTGAACCAGTTATTTAAAATATTATATTGAAAACTGAAATTGCAAACTATTTTACAAGCTAGCAATAATAAAATAAGAGGGCACTAAGATCTGAAACAGCTACCATCTGCCAGTCCTGAAAGGCATGCCATTTTAAAGATGGTTTCTGGGAGGGCAGGGGGGGTAAAGTCCAAACTGACATTTGGAAAAAAACCCTATAAATTACACTGATTTTCTTTTTGTGTTGACCAATCACCTGGTATTACAGAGTATCACCCAGGAGCAGGCCATGACTTGCATCACAAGCAACTAACTGTTCCCTAGAAAACTGAACAAGGATCTGGCAAATGGAATTTTGTCATCAGGAATGCCAGTGATTGCCATGCCTAAAACCACAGATGTAACTGCACGCTGAATGTATAAGCAATTGTCAGAAGCACAGAGCATGCTCAGGCAAGGAGCCTTTCTTATTTAAATATAAACATGTATGCTCAGACAGTTTAGAAATACTCAAATGAGTATGGTGACAATCTCAAAACATTTGAGCCATCATGCTACCCAAGCAAAATAGCACATTTTTATTACGCTAAAAAAGTGCTTTACCTCGTTCTATCTATCAGACCTATTCAACTAACTGGAACCACAGGGGCTAAATTTTCAGGAGGGAAATACCTGTCTGCAAAATGTTTCATGCTTGTTATGGACTTCACCATTAGAAGACTATGGCTCAAAAAGTGTAAAGGCAAATAACTAATGAGTTAATCAATTAACGCTACACCACAAACATTACAGAGAAGAACAACTTCTCACCTGGGAATCTATTCCCTTTCCATGACCCTCTCCTCCAGTTTAAAAAAAAAAAAAACCAAACAGCTCAAACTTGTAGTTTCTCTAGAAAAGAAGCGCGAGAGACAGGAGGAAATAAAGGAGGCAAGTGAGGAAAGGCCTGACTAGCCACAGTTTATTATAGGCAAACTGTCTCAGCTGCTCAAAAGCCTTCCCACTCACACTGCACTCATGCATACTCAAGAACCCCCACAATTACACAGATACTTGCTTTTGTCCAGATTCTCCTTTCCTGTGTCTCAACTTTTTAAAGACACTTCAAAGAAGATCAAAAATCTTGAAAGAAGTGTAGTTGTTTAGTCTATAGAAGAAAAGGTAGATGCGAGACTTGGTCTTGTTCTTCAAACATAAAGAAGTTGGTACAAGAATGTGACCAAACTGTTCAATAGGTCTACTTCAGACAAGAAAAAGCAAGGAATATAAGTTAGACATTTGGAAAACTTTCAAGTAAAAGACTGAACAGGCTGCCTATGGACGTTGTGGAATATCCATCACTGAAAGGTTTTAAAAACAGGTTAGGCAAACATCTGCCAGAAGTGATTAAGGTATAATAGATGAGAATGAACTTAAGAACTCTGCTCCTCTTCTGCTAAGGTCTTTTCATTATACTCAGTGTTATAAAACCAGTAATACTTCCCTCTTTTACATCACTGTGTTTTAAGTTTAAAAAACATCTAGTAAAACCTACCCTTCTAATTGTGGTATTTCCATATGTTCCTAGTGTGACTATTTGGGAAAACAGCACACATCAAAGATTTTCTAACTGTGAAAGCAGGATAAATAAAACACCTGTGAGGTAAGACACCAATGTATTAATTTTACACTCACTCTGAAGAAACTGTCCTCTAACATAATGCAGACATATATTTTCTTGTTCTCCAAGAGACAAAAAATTGTGAAAACTAACTGATGACTTACTGATCTGTGGTCACAAAGCCTAGTCAGTAAACCATTTTTCAGTTTTTGTTTAGAAGAACTTTTCCAAAAGGAAAGCACTTTTTCCCAAGCACAAAACCAGATTATAATATTTATATATATAAAAAAATCTGAACAAGGCTGCTTTGAAAAGTACCCAAATCTCTTTGAAACCATGTTAAATTATGAATAAGAATGGCTTCCACCACACTGAGGGAAAAAGGCCAGAGACTTCTTTTTTCCTCCCTACTGCTTAATACTAATGTAATCATGGAAATAAAAACTAAACATCAACTTCCCCCTTACCCCTAGTATGACAGGAAATCTAACAAGGGAAACATTTCTTGGTGATGGTAATAAGAATCATACAGGTAACTGTTTAGAAGGAGAATAAACAGGGGTTTCCGAAGGTCTCTGCTGGACTGACATCATATAACTCATATCACTACAAGAAACAGGAAATGCTATTTATTTTGCTCACATCTGATGTTCCTAGCAGCTGCCCTCTATGCTGACCTCTCAGTTTTATCTGTGTTGTTCAGCATTTCACATTCCTTAGGTTTTAGGAAACACTGCCTTAGAAGAGACAAGAATTCATTCACATGGCAGCTGTGACATATAGAAAGCAAATCATAATCAGAAAGTTCTGACAACTGTTTTACATTATTTTTATTACATAGATACTTCCCCAGTAAGATTATGGACACTTTTAAAGTAGGTGGGATTTGTGGGTAAGCAAGAGCTCTACTTTTCTTTTCACTATTGGTCTACAGAGGTCTTAAGTAAATCTTATCTCCTGTTTTGCATCTCAGTACATTTTTTTTTCACCAATCCAAGATCCACTCTCATTCTGATGCCATTATTTGAGTTCTGGCCCTCCAGAACATACAAGCTATCTCTGCTGCTTCTTAGGGCTTTTTTAGAAATGAACAGAGTTAACATGACACTCATAAAACTGTTCAATCTATCTCTACTGTGGGTGGGGGTGTCAGGGTATGAAGCTCAGAAACATAGTTTTCTAATTTGATTCTACTGCTAATTTGTAAATTTACACAGAGCAGCAACTTTCAAGTGGTCTGTTGTTTCAGAAAGAAGCCACACAAATCACTACAGCTGATTATTACCTTATGTTACCTCTTCCTACCTTATAATACAAACTAGTACAATTCTGTAGTATAGAACATGGTGTATAATAAAAGTATAGGAATATTTTGAGGTACATTTACTATATTTCCAGAAACTGTTTTTAAAGCTTCATGCCAGCTGAAATGTGTACTGTATCTCAATGTATTACAGACTAATATAAATCCCAAGTTTTTTACTTTCTACTTCAGTCCTACTTTAAGAAACAACACCACTGTTGTACCCCCCAGCCCTCAAAGTCAGAAACAACCAGGTATCTATGGAGTTTATGGAAGAAAAACAGACGAAATATTAAGAGATAATTTGGAAACACTGATCAAATTATTGTGATGATGTGTCGCTTACATTAGGAATTCGCTGTGACAAGCATATAGCATGAAATTTTGGTGATAAACATTCCAGTTAAATAGATATATTTCAACATTCTCTAAATTAGGACTCTGTTCTTCAGAAATGTAATTCTACCAAGGTTATTAAGTAGGCAACACTTTAGAAAGAACAAGAGCAGGAAAAAGGAAAAATGTCACCAATACACCTTGCATGACAGAGCATTACTCACATGACATTTCGTAGTTTTCTTTTCAGGAAAACATAATATTGTGAAACTTTCATGTCAGTAGAAAGTCAGACTCTAGTACACTAGAATCCCTTGACTGATTTTCAGAAAGAATTTTAGGAAAACAACATGAATTGATTTAAAGGATTTTGGAGAGCATAAGAACTCGTAGGGGGTTGTTTGCTTCCCACCATCATGGCATCCAATTAACTTCACTGATAGTTTTGCAATTGAGGATACTTAGACGAAATCTGTAGTAAGGTGAGGCCGTAGTGATTGAATATAGCATCCCATTTTTATATCCCCTTATCATTCACTTACTACATTATTCTCCAGTTATGTTTAAGTAATAATACATTATTTAGCAGACCTGTTGGAAAGTATCTCTACTGAGGATGGACCAAATACTTACACTGGTTTTCACTCACAGAAGTCTGAAGCAAAAGCATAATAAACATACATAACCGTGGCGGTTTGATCTTGGCTAAATGCTCTATCACTTCCCACCCCCTTCTCCCTTTTTTCTCAACAGGTCAAAAAGGGGAAAGAAAATAGGATAGGTAAAAAAACCCCACAGGTAGATCAAACCACCACAATACCATTTACCAAAACAGAAAAAGCATCTACTTTTCAATTAGTAGTAACCATTCCTATGAAAAGTTCAATAGATACTCTGTGCCTATACTTTCCAGGCTACTGAAGCATGTTCTTCAACAGCCCACCACTATGCCACTTCCAAACTGTCATTTCAATCGATAGACTGAATAAAGGAACACAACTGATTTCGAAGAACCACTTCACGTGCCTGCTTCCTCACCACAAAGTGCGGTATCTGTCCTTGCAATGCTACCCTATAGCTACAGCGCACATTAAACCCCATGATAAAATCCCTTATCAAAAGTAAACAAAACCAAACATAACGTCGTTTCCTCTACTTCAAGGCACTCATCCAGTCCCTCCGCTGCAGGGGAATTCCCCTCAGAAGGACGGCAGTGGCCTCTCTTCGACCACTACTACCACAGCACATAACTCGCAGGAAACCCCCTGCTCCAGCCGCGCCCCTCCGGCTCGAAGCAAACTAACGAGGCCCGCCAGACTCCCGCCTTCCCACTCCAGACAGCTCGGCCCGGCCTAGCTCAGTCCGTGGGGTAGGCCCACGGCATCAGACCGCCATGGCAAAGCCACCCAGCGACGAAAAGCGACCCAACTGAGCTACCCACGGGCGCGCTAAAAGCGCGCTGAGGGTACAAAGCCGCCGCCCGCCCCCATGTTGGGACCTGGCGGGCCCCGAGGCCCCCCAAAAGCACTCACATGAACCGAACGGCCGCCACACACCTCCACCCGCTAAGGGAAAGGACCCTCTCCTTTGAGCTGCCCACCGAGTGCCTGAAGTTTCTAAGAAGGCACCAAGGAAAGCCTCGCTACCCCCAGCGAACATTGTTATTACGGCCAAGACGCTCAACGCGTTTTCCTCAGAGCTCTAAGACAGCGTACACACAACGCGGGGAGTGAAGAAGGAAAGAGTGCTAGTCTCTTTTTTTTTTTTTTTCCCAAGGCCCAAACACCAAGAAAGCTCAGGCACCGCGCTAGATGCCTCTACGACAGGGTCCTTCCGGTGCCTGGCGGGGTGGAGTGACGTCCTGGAGCGGCGGGGGCGGGCGAAGGTAGTGACGCCACGTTCGGGTGGGG